GACGACGCGGCCGCCGCGCTGCGCCTGGCTCTTGGCCAGCTGTCCCTGTTGGGGCTGGGGGCCGCGGAAGACGAGGATGACGAGGGCGCGGGTGGTGGCGACGGCAGTGCAGGCGGCGCGGACGGCGGGGCCGCGCTGGAGCCCGTGCCCCCCGACGGGCCCGAGATCGGTGCGCCCCTGCCTGTAGTGGCCCAGGTGGGGGCGCTCCCTGCGCCGCTGCAGCTGCTGGAGCCCGACGTGAGTCCCCCGCCACCGCCTGTGCCGCCCCTGCCGTCGCCGCCCGACGTGTTCGTGGGCTTCGCGCCGCACCCGTTACTAGCCGAGCAGATGAGCGTGATCGGCAGCCGCAAGAAGAGCGTGAACATGACCGAATGTGTTCCGGTGCCCAGCTCGGAACACGTCGCTGAGATTGTGGGCCGTCAGGGTGAGTGACCGCCGTCAGAGGCCCGGTGCCCAGTCGTGCGCGCCACCGGCCCCTGACACGCCCTGGCCTGCCCAGCGTGGTGGCCGCCTTTGTGCCTTTGTCCTGCAACCGGCCGCCGGGAAAGCCGGCGCGGCCCGTGCTCCTCCCTCCGTCCCTCCCCTAGGCGCCCGCCGCTGCCTTTGTCTGCGCCGCCTCGGGCCCCGTGGGCAGCGCCCATGCTGCCCGCCTGCCCTCAGTGGCTCTCCCAGGACGGGTGCGGGGAGGTAGGTGCACTGTGCTCAAAGCAAGCGTGGCCAGCCAGCTCCGGTCAGGGCGCACAAAAAAGGTCCCTGTTCGGGGCTAACCTCGGGGGATAAGACAGGAGACCCTCTGTGAAACCGAAGTCAGGGGCTAGGGATTTGGGAACACGTTGAGGGACCAGATGCACAAGTGCGGGTCTCAGCAGTGGCATTGTCAGCGTGTCCCGGTGGCCACCCCATTGTTCCCTTTGTTAGCGAGGTAGCTGGTTGAGGTTTGCAGGTGACATCAATCCCGCTGCTGCTAATTGGCCTTGGAGGGGCAGGACTGTGCCGGCAGTGGGCAGTGCTGGAGGAAGGAGGGGTCGCGAGAACACACACCCCCTACCCACACACCTCTATTCTCAACTTTCTCCTGGTCACACTTCCAGCTATCTGCTGTTTGACTTGAGGTGGGGCCTGGGCGGGGCTCTAGTGGAACTTTTGGACACTCAGTTACGATGGGGTAGGGGTCAGGCAGAGAAGCGTCCTGAAGTCACCCTTACCACAGACAGGATGGGGACCACAGGGACCACTACCTTGTGCAAGCAGCAGGTGTTCCCTTGTTCCAGGTGGCTGGGGCAGCTTGGCTGGCCAGCTCCCATCCTCAGGGATTCAGGTGGTCCATCGGGATACCTGTGGACTCATGAGGCAAGCCCAGCCCACATAAAGGAATCTATAGTGGGGCAGGCCACTCTGGGCCTTGCTGACCATCCCAAGGGGCAGGTACAGCACTACTCTGGGTGGACAGTTCCCTCCACCACCCTGAGGCTGGCATGTCCTAAGTATCCATGAGCCCAGAGTCCCCAGGATGGTGGGTCTGTGGTAGACAGCAGTGGGAGATGAGAGCATGTCTTTGTGAGTGCCCACCACCCAGTACTTGAGAGCCCTTTGAGATGCATGGGGTACCCTGGACCCCTGGCCTCAGGCCACTCTCTGGCATCTGGATTGGGGACAAGGGACGCCATGCTGGAGGGGAAGGATGGGTCTGGCAGGTCCAGCAGAAACCTAAGAGCTCAGTGTGCCAGCCCGGGAGACTAGACTCGGGGCCAGCACCCTCCTCCGGGGTTTTGTGAGGTTTCTCGGCCGAGAACTGGCTGCAATTCCTGCTCCAGGCCAACTTTTAGGATGTATCTCCTAGTTGAGGGGCATAGTAGTAGCGAAGTCAGCAGCCCTGTGCCTCCCTAGCCCTAGAACCTTCTATTGCTCCCAGTTCTCAAGTGTATCCTTCAAGGCTACTTGTATTCCAGGTCAGCCCACTCCTTTCAGTCACCACCTCACCCTACTCTGGGGGCCCCGGACCTGAAGCCAGTTCTATGCCTTCCTGATGTTTTCAAATCCCAGGTGCAGGGCCGCACCTCCTTGAAGAGTACATGGCCTCTCTTGCCAGACCAAAGGTGCAAGATCCTTTTCCCAGCCCCTGGTTAGCCAGTTAGACCAGGGTCTTCCAGCCTGGGCAGACGGGAGAACTTCTGTTCGGATCCATTCTCTTTGCTCCCAGGGCCTAAGCAGACCCTAAGACAACCCTGGCTGAGAGGAGTGTTCCCTTGTCACTGGCTGTAGTCTCTCACTTGCCAAATCTTTACATCACTGTGTGTTGGGTCCTGGGGCAGCCTCTGTTTCACTGAATTCCCCACCATATCCCCAACAAGATTTTCCTCCTGAGTCCCGCATGGGGACGAAGGGGAGGTAACGGCTTTGTCTGTGCTGCTGGGGGCACGGGTAGGGGTGGCAAGGAGATTGGGAAAGAACTTTCTATCTCCCAAAGCTGGGGCTCAGGAGCACTTGGTTCAGGATACGGAAGAGTGAGTGTGGTCCTTTTCACAGACAGGCAAGATTAGGGGCGGGTAGATAGATCTGTCCTGCCAGCTCAAGGTCATCTGGGAGACAGCTCCTGCCCCTGCTGCCCACTGGCTGTGGGTTGACCCTCCCCCAGGCCCTCCTCTTCTCCAGCACCCTGGGGGCAGGGAGAGCAGGGTTGGCAGTGGATGCTTGGTCTCGTTTGGGTGTGTAACTTTGTTACCGAGCCTGCAGCTTGGCAGGTTTTTAATGAAGGATGAATGATGTTAGAGATGTTCGGTCTAGGTCCTTTCCTCATTGCTGTTGGCACAGGCTGCTGGGAGGTGGTCTCCCATGAGCACTGGTCTCTGCTCCGAACCCTTCTGCCACCCTTGGCCTAGCTCCACCTTGCAGGCCTAGGGGCTGGGGACGGGGCCTGGGGATGGGCACTAGTGGAGATGAGGCTTCCTGGGAGCCCGCTGCACACCAGGCCCTGAGGTGGGGGCCTTGTGGGTTATAGTGTGAATACCCCGTCTGTGCCCTGTGAATGAATGGTGAACAAGAGGGTTGGCTCCCTGCTACCCGAAATGTGGTCTTGTGGCTAGCTGTGTTCCAGGATCACCTGTACAAGCCACAGACCCTGGGGTGGCTGTGTTCGCCATCAAATGCCGCAGGGCTGCCCCTCACCCAGTTTCCCAAGGGCTTGGGACCCACCTCACAGGCTTCCCTGCCTTGTGGGGGTCTTAGAGAGTATGGAGCATGGGGCCCAAGGGGCTCAGAGAGGCAGAGCCAGGCTGCTGGGCTCCAACTGTGTCCTCAGAGGCCTCCAGGAAATTCTGCCTGCGGCTGCAGCATGAAGGACTATCAGGCCCCTCATCACTGCCCCAGGGTCCTCTCAGTCCCCCCAGCATTGCCACATGCTCACATCTCCCTCTTGAACACTTGTCACCTCTTATGACCCACACCCATGGGCCCCGTGACCTTGAATGGGTTTCTGTCCCTGGACGGGGCATACTGGCAGGGAGGAAGGACGAACCTGTGTTGGCAGCCTCCACAGTGGTTCAGTAACATGTGAACCAGGGCTCCGCCTCCCTGCTCCAGCACTGATTAGAACCCTACCCTCTCTTTGTGCCTCACTTTCTCCCTGTAAAATTTTAGTTAGCACTGCTAGCTGAAAGGTCAGCAGTGTGACTCCAACCAATAGCACCACAGAATAAAGGCCTGACAATTAACGCCCATAAAGATGACACCTAGGGAACACTGTCACCTGGAGTCAGTGGGTCAGAATTGACTCGATGGCACCGGACGACAACACAGTGGGCCTGCTAAGTAGACTTTCTGGGCTGTGCTGAGCTTCAGCTGTCACACCCAGTGCCACCCAGGGGCTCAATCAGCCCTACCCACACTAACTTGGGCCCCCCTTTTACAGGAGGAGAAACTGAGGCAGGGAAGGCCCTTTGAGTACCCAGTGTAGTCCCTGAGCCTCAGGGAGGTCAGTGCAAGACCTGGGCTGACAGACTACTGTGTGTGGTGCAGTCAGGACTGAGAAACTAGTATATGAGGTACAGTCAGGGTGGGCCTCCTGGAGGAGGTGGTGGTGCAGTCAGGGCCGAGAGACTAGTGTATGAGGTACAGTCAGGGCGAGCCTCCTGGAGGAGGTGGTGGTGCTGGGCTCAGAGACAAATGAATGTCTAAGGTTCAGTCACGGGGAGTTCCTGGAGAAGGTAGTGCTGGGCTGAGAGACTAGCATCTGAGGTTCAGTCTTGGAGTTCTTCCTGGAGAAGGTAGTGCTGGGCTGAGAGACTAGCGTCTGAGGTTCAGTCTTGGAGGTCTTCCTGGAGAAG